TTTATATTAAATACAAAAGGGTCCAGAGAAATAGACAGAATAAATAAATAACCACTCAGCTAATTGTCTCCTTTATGCCAATGTTTCAAATCTGTAGGAATCACCACATTAAAAAATTAAAAAAAGACTTTTAAAAACCGAATTAAGTGTGGAGACCACCTTGAAAAAGGAAATGTTCATGTAGTGTTATGTTTCAACCTTAATGCAGGAAGGTTGTAAAGCTCTCTAGCTTTAGTTCTGAGTATATTTAGCGAAAAGTGTCAAACATGTCAAAACATGTAAGGCTGAAACTAAATGTGTGAAGATTTTAAGTCCTTACTTTGGATTCTAAATAACTGATATAGCTGAGAGCAAGAAAAAGAAAACTGTGCCTTTTAATTAAAATAAAAGCCAGACTTGAATTGACTTTTGGGAGAAAATAAAGTGGATCTGATTTATGCTTCATTTAGCTGAGCTAAAGGTTGAGTAGCAATGAGCATTTTTGCTGTATGGACCTTTTTGTAACCTTGTGCAATACTTTTCTGATTCGTTGCTTGGAATATAAACCTACAGAACCTGGAAAATGTCAGCTCTCACGCTTTACTAAACTGTGCACTCGGTATTTGCAATCAGTGCAGAGAGTTCACAAAACTACTCTTGCCTTACAATGTGTGCATGTTTTAATTAAATGTCAATTATATCAGCTGGACAGTTTACCAACTGGCACTTGCTCCATATAAACAAAATTAAACCATTTTATGTTAATCCTAATATGCTAATTGCTAACATTCAACAGTACATTCAAATTATAAGTAAAAGAAAAACAAACAAACAAAAATAAACAAAAAAGAATGACGCTGCAGTAATGACAAACAGGTCTCTCTGGATTAGAGTAAATTAAACAGAGTTCCTTTCTCTTGCAGAACCTGGTAACAGGCCAATAAGGATTCATTTGAATCAGGTGTGTTGGAGTCATGACATCTAAAACATACAGGGAGCCAGTGCCTGAGGACACCACTGGTCTTCAACTTTAACTGTCCTGCATGTTGCTCCATCACACTTGAATGAAATGATTGCATTTCATGCTCAGTGACCACCAAGGACCTCTGAGGCCTGTTAATCATCCACATATTTTAGTCAGGTGCGAGGAGGCGGGGAAACATCTACAACATGCCAGACACTAGTTCCTGAGGACCAGGATTATAGAGCCGTGATCTACAGCCTTTGTTCATGTTGTGCATTAACATGACCTGCAGCTGTTTTGCTAATCTGTCATTTCCTATGTGGTCTGCATCAACAGAACGCATCTCGCCTCATCATATCTCTAATGAGGATGTTTCTAATTTATGGTTGGTGTAATTTTGCAAAGGAGTTGACAGCGGGGGGTTTGCACCGAACTATAAAACGGCCTCATAAATGAAAGTAATGCAAGTGATTGGCTTCATACTGTGGTCAGAAAAAAAAACTCAGTTTATGCTAAATAGGGGCTCCACATTTTGTTAATAGCTTTAGCTAATAAGGGAACAAGTGTCCAATTTGTTTTACATATTGCAATATATTAAGGTTTAGAGGTATAAGCATCAATCACACCAAAGTTAAAAAAAGATTAAAATGCAAGCTGCATCTTTGTACCTGGAATGACCTAAGCATGCACGCTTTTCAGGAAGGCAGGCCATGGTAGCACAAGTGACAGTGAGGCTGGAGAGTGTAGGATATGTCATCAAGAGGAAAAGCTGTTATGACCCCCTCTTGATTCATAATCTGCCTTCATCAGAGCAGGGAGTTTCTCTGGCTTAAAGGATCTTTTCTCTTTAAACAAGCGTTGCGGTTCAGATCAGTCCCTTAAGCGCTCCCTATAGTAAAAATAATGTTTTAAATGTGTCAATAATGTTTTTAGATGTTCAATTTGTGTACTGCACATCCTCACCAATGCAGTGGTTTGTAAATGGCCAGTGTGTTTGTATAACACATTATCATGTTGGGGTATCCCAAAGCACTTCACACTTCATTCAGTGTTCACCCATTCACATACTGAAGCTGCTAGCCTACATTCTAGCCACAAGCTCAAGAAGCCACAACCACCAAATGAGGCGGTTGAAGTGTCTACTCTAAGGACGTGTGGACCGGGTCAGATGGCCCACGGTTAAAGGACAAACCTGGACACCTTCTCCTGGTTCTTTAATGTGTGGAACACCAGGATAAACCCCTACTTCTGCTACCTGTCCTCCTGCTCTAAGCAGCAAGCACAGGATACTTACTACCCATTTACTGCACACATATGACAGCAATAAAAGAATTGCTCTTATTGTGCTTAGTATGAGCCTCTGCAGTCATTCATTGGTTGCATTTATATTATAAAGTATTTAAACTGCTCAAAGAAATAAAGGGAAAATATAAACAACATTATAACTTCAGTTAAATCAAACTTATGGAATGGACAACAGGTGGAAATTATTGGCAATTAGCAAGACACACTCAATAAAGGAGTGGTTCCTTAGATGGGGATCAAAGACCACCTGACAGTACTTTGCTTTCTGGCTGACTTTTTGGTCACTTTGGAATGTTAGTGGTGCATTTACACTCATGGTAGCATGAGACAGATTCTACAAGGTATTGCCGCTCGTCCAGGATGGCACATCAATGCGAGCCGTGGCACAAAGGCTGTATCTGTCACCATAGGCACCAGAGGCTGTAGGCGCTACCAGGACACAGGCCAGTACACCAGGAGATATGGAGGAGGCCATCAGAGGGTAACAACCCAGCAGCAGGCACACAACCTCTGCCCTTGTGCATGGAGGAACAAGAGGAGCATCACCAGAGCCCTGGAAAATAATCTCTAGCAGGCCACAAATGTACATGTGTCTGCACAAAGGGTTGGAAACAAATGCACAATGCTGCTCAAAGCTCAGCATCATGCAGGATGCCTGGCATTTGCCAGAGAACACCAGGATTTGCAAATTCACCACCGGCGCCTTGTGCTCTTCACAGAGCTGAGCCTCATTTTGACCTGTTTCAAGGACATTATCTAAAAGTTGGATTAGCCTGTGGTTTCTTTTCCCACATTCATTTTGTCTGTCCAGGCCTCCATTGTTCAATGAATTTGATTTCCATTGATGATTTTTTTGTGCTGTTGTTGTCAGTACATTAACATTTGTACAGAAAAAAGTATTGAATGTGAATATTTCTTTCATTTAGATCTAGGATTCTATTTGATCGTTCCCTTTTTTTTTTGAGCAGTATGTTTTTTGATCCCCGCTACTGTACTAAATATAAAATGCTACCTATATGACTGTCAGGATAAGGCAATCAGAATCAAATGTTAATGCTTTAATAATTTCTTACCTGTTATCATTAAAAATTATCGATTGATCCCCACCGTCTTCAGTTTAGCAGAAAGCCAGAGGCGTAGTTAAAGATCCGTTAATTTAATATTCTCACAGGGAATATTAAATCCCTGTGAGACAAAATCACTCTGATTTCACTTTGATTCCAAGTGACAGATCTGCAGTTTAAGAGGAACACATTGTTTTTTTTTTTTTTTTTTTTTTATTGTTTTTGAACACATTGTTTTTAAATTTTTGATCTACATTGTGTAGATCTGCTCTTGTTCTCTGCCTGATATTTTTTTTTTTTCAAAGCAGCCGGCTTGCAAGTATTGCTGCATGTGCTGCATACTACTGGGTGAGGATATACAGTAGGGGACAGTCCTATGTTAAAACAATAGCTAAAATAATTTATTATAAATGTGATCTACATAGTGTCACTTTACCTTCACACCGGAGAAAATAAAGTCAACTCTGTCCTGGTTATTGTTCTGTGGCCCTGTGGAAACACCACAATGATGCATTTACAAAGAATTAGCATATCAAATAAATCTTAACCAAATGAGATATAAAAATTAATCTCTGTCAGGAAGTAGTCACAAGTAGTTTTACTGTGACTACCTGACTTCAAAACCCAGTATATCACTAAGTAGTTTCTCAGTAGATGATTGATTTATATACATTTAGTCAAAAATGAGTTTGCCATCTTTTATATTCTGTTGCAGAGGAATTTAAATGTAAATTCTGGCAAGATGTAAGGCAGTAACAAGCACACCAGCTTTGATCAAATCTTATGGTTCTTTACATTATATCTTGGTTTGTTGGAATTCAATAATGTTGAAATCACCTGTTTCATTTGGTAGAAATTGACAAACATACTTTCCTGTTTCATTTTTAGTGTAAGCATGTAATCAGGGCATGTTTGTATCTAAACGTGTGTTGCACCAATCAAGAAAAAAACTGATTTGCTTTACAACAAAGTGGCAAAAAAGAGAGTTTTCATTCTGTGTCAATATTCATTTTACCTTATATATTTTATTTTTAGATCAAATAATGAATCCAATTTGTTTATAAAGCAACCATTTATTCAAATCAACTCTCTCAAAGCAGGTCATGCAGATGATGCTGCCTCTAAAAAAAATTTGCAATGCGAGCACACAAGAGAAGGATGTATTTATGACAATATGTTCAGCATTTATTCATAATAGAGGAACTAATTTTTAACAGAAACTTATGTTTTACGCATGACTCTTTAGTTTTACAGGTAGTTTTATAGTTTTAAGTAGTTTTTTGCTGAGCGTTTTGTAGAGATCTTTGAGGATAGGAAGCGTTTTTGCCCTCACAGCAGAGATTATCAAACTCAAACCACTTATGCTTGTGTTTCACAGAGCAGCAGATGAATAGACATGATAAATTATCTAGATAAGGAACAGGACTTCAGCTCAGAAGTCAACCACTGGCAGCATTCAGCATCTGCCTGTTTCATTACGTCTCTTTTTTACTCATTTGGAGTGAAATGGAGTAAAAAAGAAAGGTGTGTGGGACATGTTTAGCTGTGAAGTTCAGGAGGTGTTGTAAAACTGAAGTTCTGTGCAAATTGAAAGTAGAACCACATTCAAACTCACATGAGGAAGTGCACAGACCGCTGTACATTTCTTTTTAGCTGACAGGGAAGTGAAACCTCTGCATGGCCACAGAGAGAGAGAGAGAGAGGCACCGCTGGTCATTAGAGTGGCTGCTTCACTCATGAGAACTTGCTGCTGGCTTCTCTGGTGACAACGGATCACAGGTAGGAGGACGCAGCATCAGACCAAAGATGGGTTTCGGTGAAGACCTCCGGTGTCCACAGGCGCATGCAGCCGTCATGAGGCTATTGGACTCTGAGCTTCACCTGATGGAGGTCATGAAGAAGTGGATGGGTCAGCGGGCGAAGAGCGAGCGAGAGTTTTCAGTCCAGCTCCACCAAATGACTGCCATCGCTGAGAAGATGGACCGGCCTCAGGCCAGCTCAGGACTGGATTACATCAGTCAGCTCAACAAGGTGAGCCCCTCTCTACTCCTGGACTGATGAACTGAACGATCTGGTAGAGTGGTTATCTTGTGACTAATTAAAATAAAAGTATTATTTGCATATTATAGGTTGTTTTCTTATTCACAATATAACAAGAATAAAACAATAGATACAAATCTATAACAAGGCTCTTTGTGATTTTATAAAGGGACTCTTCTCCCTGTAACCTCATCATTATGAGCTTCTTGGTTCCACATAAGTTTGTCCCCATTGTTTGCAACACCATTACTGGTCCAGCAAAGTTCTCTTAGCTTTCAGAATATTTGATGAGCTCATGTACATAGAGTATTTAAAATACGCTTTGTTATTCAGGTAAAAATGCATGTGAGCCACCAGAATGGAGATGTAGTCACTTGTGTTTATGAGACGAATGAGAATGAGAAGGTAGCCATTTAACCGCACTTTATGCATCCTGTTGCATTAAGAATCTTCATCTTTTTCAGCATGTTTTGTCATTTGAGAAACTACTGAAATTGGTAATATCCCCTATGTAACCATTTTCCTTTCCTGTCAGTCATGGGGAGTGCTGGTCTCGCAGACAGAGTCCCTCAGTCAGTTGATGAGGAGGCACTCTGAGGATCTCCAGGATGGGCCTATCAGCAAATTGACTCTGCTCATCAGAGACAAACAACAGCTGCGCAAAACCTATGCGGAACACTGGAACCTTCTGAGGCAGGAGCTTAACAAGGTGTGAAAAAAAGAAAGAAAAAAGCATTCACACATAGAGAGCTGTCTCTCTTATCTCTCTGATCTATTCACTTCCTTCCGGAGACTTTTACTCTTCTCCAAACTTTTTTTGTCTGGCTTTTTGTCTTAGAAATTTTTTTAGAAAAGTTTTTGTTTTGTGTTTGCATTCAGCGATTTTGCTCATAGAAATTTGATTCAAAACACTAAAAAAACATAGAAATGCAAAATTAAAAAGGAGAGTGAATGGCATTATATTTTGGTTCCAAATTCTTATAGTTAGAATTTGAATGTTTGTCCCAAATCTGGACATGGATTTATAACAATAAGGCCAACAAAAAAGTAGAGATAACTATGTCTTTAACACAAATTTAGGTGCATAAAGCAAAGATGTGGGGAATCACCGAAAGAATAGTGGTCAGAGAAAATGTTACGATGCCAGCAGCTTGCAGACTTAACAAACTGGCAGCCTAAAAACTCTCTGGGGAGAAAACTATTTGTATTAAATTCCCCAAATTTATCCAGGGAGTAAATTACCTTTTCTAACAAAACGCTTTAATTCAAAGCTTTGACTTTCTGGATGTATTTAGTTTACATTTAATCCCAACATGGTTGCTCTATTGGGTTTAGGCATATGTCAGCACCTTTTCTCTCAGCTTCCAATGCTGCCAGAATAGCCTAATTTATACCAACAACTCTTGTTTGTGTCCATATATAAGTCCTGAAGATTTAACTATAATACAGTAATGTAGCTGTAAAAATATCAGAAGGCAGCATCTGTTACACCTGTTTAAAAATACTTCTCAACTATTTGAATGTGAGAAAACACATCAATAATTGAATTGTTTAAACAAAGACATTTTTTTTAATTCTAATGATTATTTCCTACAAACTATAAACAGCAATAAATGAGTCACAGTCTATTTAATTTGATACATCTCTGCATCACTGCATACTTTTTTCTCTTTCATACATATGTTGTCTAGATCATATGAGGAAATTCCTCTTCAGCTGCTCTAATTTAAGTACTAAAATGATTTCCCCATCATTAAGTGAAATAATTTTGAAATGCTTCCTGAAAAATGGTTTATAACGACCAAGTTTCTGCATGCAAACACTTTGTTCCCCTTCAAAGAAAATCCTTAATCTGTTTAAGCCTATCATCGGAAAGAAAACCATCACTCACTTGATAAAAGGCAACAGCCGAACTACTATTATTGCTGCTTATCTTTTTGATGCTAAACAAGAATAGTCAGAAGTAACTGAATGTTTTTATTTTTATAGAGGAGCAGTGAAATCCGGCTGCAAAAATAAAACAAAAACTGTTTTATATTTTAGTTTTCGTGGTAGGTTAAGCTGCTCTGAACCTGTGTAAAAAAAATAGCATGGCTCAGTTCAAAGGTTTCACTTGTAAACCAAAGCAGTACTTGACACGCTCATTAAACCTTTTTCCCCTGACAAGTTTTTTGTTTTTTAAACAAGATAACAATTCATTCCAGGATAACTGTGATTTCCAGATTTTCCAAAAGATGCTGTTCTAAACAATTGGTCATCATCCACATTTAGATTAGATTAGATTAGATGAGCTTTATTGATGTCACAGCGGAGAAATTCACTGATCACATATTGGCATAGTATAGCAATTAAAGAAGGTGCAAACAAGGAGGAAAAAGGTGCATTAGGAATAAACAGTAGGCTATATATACAGTATATCAAGATAAATAAGGGTTAAGGTGCAAGTGTACATGTATCACACACAATGAAAAACAAAATAAAAATAGGAAATAATAAAAAAAAATACAAGAGAGTAACACAGAGATTTGAGGTGTCATATGTACAATCAGGATGGCCTATATACAGGTGGATTGACTTTTACATTACATTATTTGGAAGCTTGTTTAGGGTAAATGTGCTTTATAAGAGCTACGCGTCCAAAAATTAACTACAAAGGAATTATCCATCCATCCATCTTCTAATACGCTTAATCCCAAGTGTGGTCACGAAGGGTGCTGGAGCCTATCTTTAGCTGTCAATGGACGAGAGGCTGGGTACACCCTGGACAGGTCGCCAGTCCATCGCAGGGCAACACAGAGACAAACAACCATTCACACCTAAGGAGAATTTAGAGAAGCCAATTAACCTATCAGTCATGTTTATGGACTGTGGGAGGAAGCCAGAGTACCCAGAGAGAACCCACGCATGGTCGGGGAGAACATGCAAACTCCATGCAGAGAGACCCTGGGCCGGGAATCAAACCCAGAACCTTCTTGCTGCAAGGCAGCAGTGCTACCCACTGTGTCACTGAGCAGCCCCAGCAAGGAATCACAGAATGAAAATTAGAAATGTTTTCTTTCTCAAATTAAAATTACTGATATATATTAAACTTAAGAAGGTAGAAAGCTTCAATAAAAACTTTCCTCCTGTCACGTGCAAACAATGTTCAGGCGCGCTACTTTTGAAACTCTGAATAGAACGAGTCTACTTAAAATAAGTGTGTAATTATATCACTATTGTTACGTTGTTCGAATTGTTAAAGGGGTTAAAAAACCACAGGGCTGAAATAGAGGAGTAATACAAAGGTAAGGGAAGTCTAGTCTTTCAGTTTGTTCCCATTTGACTCAATTAGATTGCTTACAATGAAGATTGCACAGGCAGATGATTGACCAAATGTTATATATAAAATATCTGTAATGTTTAATTTAATGAATCTAATTACTGTAAAACCATCTGTCCCACCAACCACCATGTTACAATAACATCATACAGACTGTCTACATGTCAGATTATACACCAACCATTTTATTTCCTTTATTCCACATGACTTTTTTTCGTTTAATCTATTGGTCAGTAAGACACAATTTTACTTTGAAAATGCAGAAAACTGTCAGCAGCTTATATTTATAGATAAAGAATTACTTTCACATACATGTGTAGATTTTTCTGCCACTGCTGATTAAAGAAATGGCAGCTATAATTCGACAGTATTATTGTAAACATAAGCAAAAGAGCACGTTGTAGTGTGAAACCAGGTCTGCCTTGTATTATTATCCAATTACATCAAACAAATGAAGTGTAAACCTTTGTAAATCCATGCTGAGCTACAGTACAGCTGTTGTCGGCCTGTTTGCTTAACATTGTGCAATTACTCTCCAGTGCAAAGTGAGCATCACTGTGTGATTTATGCAATAGATGGATGTTTTTTTTTTGTCTTGATTGAGCCAGCAGTCAGAAATGCTATCAAAGGGTGTTGAAGCATTGCTACCACCTACACAGCAAAGGTCAGATCATTTCCTCAAATGATGTTTCTATGCTTTTGTTGTTCCTTTTGAAGAGACTCACAGTGGGTCTGCTGTCCTCCTCCTGTGTCAGCTTTTATAATGTTTACAGACTAGCTCCTGTACTGTATATCACACCTGTCTAAACAACTGATGGATTTTAATATATAATTTTCAAACTTTAAAGATGCGCTTGAAAACTGTTAATATATTTTGAAATTCCCAAGTCACCACCAAGTGTTTATTTTAATTTTATATACGCAAACGCATGGTAGCCCATAATTGCATCATCGATTTGAAAAAAAAAGATTTTTTTCTAAAGTGTTTTCATAATAGCTGAAAGGTGTGGTGTTCGCTTACTGTAATCATCTCTGTAATAACAGCTGCAAGCCTCTGCTGTTTTTTTTAACCAGATGTGCTGTCAGATTGCACAGATGGAGGTAAACCTCAAGGTTGTATTTTTAACCAGGATTCTGCTGCATGTTTGCTGTGTCCCTGTTTAGTTTCTAAAAAACTGCAGTGAAAGCAAGCTACTGTCTCCTGTTTGCTTCTTCCTGTAGCTCTTCAATAAGGCTAACTATGTTCCTCTTGCACCTCTAACTTCACCTTTGGACTCCATTTGTAAAATAGGTGATTTCTGAGTGCACTTATTTACAATTCATTTTATTTAAAGAAATCAGAGTAAACTTGTCTAAATACAAATTTGCTACACCGAAATAGCTTCATTCACTTAAATGTTTGAGATCATAAACAAATTTCTTTTTGATTCAAATTAAACTGTTCCTCAATGTTATTATATCACAGATCATCTTAGTGAAATGCTTTGAAGGGTGTGGCTTTAATTAGAAGAATTGTGGCATTCAAGGAAGTGTAGAAGCAGACAAAGGCAGTAAAACTTAAGCTCTGCTGCTGACTGATATTTGTGAGGGAAAAAAAAGGAGAGTATGCGTGTCAAGTTTAGGTCCTTCTCGCTGTTCGTTGTCTGTTTCAGGATTTATCTGGCTTTTTCTGTTTTTTTTTTTTATATTTAGAAGAAAGACTTTTGCAAGGGGATAGAAAAAAAACCTAAAACTGATCAAAGTGAGGATTTATGTTGTCATTATTGAGCTAAAAAATACTTCTATCTGGTTGCTTAGGTTACCCACACAGAGCTGGAGAGGTTGAAAAACAACTACAGGCAGGCGGTAAAAGATGCAGCTCAGGCAAGGAGGAAGTACCAGGACACGAGTAAAGGTGGGCAACGTGGATTTTTACTTCTCTAAACAGATTCTGTTTCAAACTTATCTCTTGTATTTTCCTCTTTTTCTTTTTATATGTATGCAGATAAGGAGCGAGACAAGAACAGGGAGCGCTACATAAAGGCTTCCCTAAGACTGTACGAGCTGCATAATGAGTACGTGCTGTCAGTGCGAGCAGCTCAGGTTTACCATCAGCATCACTACAGCCAGATGCAACCAGCTCTGCTCAACGCGCTGCAGACCCTGCAGCAGGAGATGGTGCTCATCCTGTAAGGTTGCATTGAACACAGTTTGTATCTGAGTGTATCAAAGAAAATTGCAGAAACATTAGAAAAGTATGCAAACCATAATTTAAATACAGAGGGAATATTACTTGATATTTTACTTTTTAATGTATACTATCATGCTAATATTCCCTCTCAGTGAGAAAAGCTTGAAACTGTTTTATTATTTTATCTAAACACAAAAGGACCATTTTCCTAATGTTTTCTATTTCTATTAAATGTATAGTGGAGTATGTTCTTTTTCAGTGTGAATTATCAAAAGAAGTTGTCCCCCTAATTGTCATTCTGGTGATATGTTTACATAAGGCCCTTCAATGTGCTCATCCCCATTTTCACTTTCCGGTGGTGAGTCTGACATAGTGAAAAATTCAAATCTTCTTTTGGAAAGTAAGCTTGTATGAGCGATGCAAACAGCAACTTTAAACAGAGCGTGCACAAGGAGAAATAAGCTTATGGATGCTCTCACATGCAGGAGCAGGTACAGGGTTTTGCATGTGCATTTTTTTTAAGTGGAGAGGGCGGGTCTTTTCAAAAATTCGTTAAAATCCTCCACAATACCTTGAAATAATTTTCCTTAACCTTTACAAATATAAACTCCTCATATTTTGTGCACTGACTTGCACTGAAAAAACATGGAGGGTCTGGTCTTTAACCAAGTATTACAGCCATTGTAAATAAAAGAAAAACCTTTTTTTTGCTAAAAATACTCAGAACTTTTTATTAACCACCCACATTTTCATAAAATCTTGGAAAGTCTCTTAAGTCTAAAGGGAATTATTTTTGTTTATCAATTTTCAATGATCATTTAATCTAATAAAGATCAGACATTAATCTTCATTAAAAGGCAGAAAAAGGGCTCTTAAATGTATCAGGAACACTTTGCTGGGATGTTTGCTGAGATCATAAATAAGAAATAATTTGACAAAATATGGGTGTAGTCCTCTAAGATTGAAGTAGTTAATCTACTAGGTTTCTCTACAGTGTTAGTGGTACATGTGTCTCTATCTACGGCCATTGTGGCTAGAAGGAGGTCAAGGTGCAATAAAAGATGACAGAGAGAGAAAGGAAATAAGTACCGTATGTATGTCAACATATTTCGATTATTGTGGTACTGATCTACTATGATCCAAATCAGAATAGCTAAATTGTCTGTGCAAACAAAAAGTAGCTCCACTATGATACACAACAGATAACAGGTGGTGCTGATCACCGTATCTAAATGAGGGTTTTTGTGTGAGTTTCTGGCTATCAGCATTGAGAGCTTGGAAAATCAGAGGGGATTTATTTTGCACATTCCGAATGGAAATGCAGTTTTCATCAGCACTGCACACAGATGGCAGGTATGATCGCTATGTTAAAAAGATACCTGCAAAGGAGAAGAGAGAGAATCGATTAATTTTATGTGACATGGAAAAAAATATTAGCTATCACCAATAAGAAGACACAACTAAATAGCCCATGGCATTTGTATCATTCTCACTGTCATAGAAAAAGTCATAGCCATTGTGTTAGTTATTGAAAGCAACGCCACTCAGAGACATCTATCACAACATCAGAGAAACCATGATTTTTGCAGTATTGCAGTTTTTATGAAAAGAAAGGAAAATGCATTGGTTTGCAAGCAGATGGTCTCCCAATAAAGCTTTAGCAATTTTAACCTATTTTCTCTTTCTAATAAAATACAAGTTCAAAAACTTTATTTGTGCACACAGGGCAAATATACGGCACATAGAGAAGCAATAGATAGTTCAACAACACTTTACATATACAGAACGACTAATACAAAAATGTCTAAAAAAAAAAAAAGGCGTAAATGCTGTCACCAAAACAGTAGACCATGGGGAAAACACACGACATTATCATTTGCACATTAATACTAATCAGCATGACGTAATGAAGTTTCATTTTTCACTCCCACAGTTTAGGAGGAACACAGCTTAACCCTCAAATGTGGCATGTCTCCTCTGAGTCCTGCATGCAGGGCAACAAAGCTGTTGCCTTGCATGCAGGTAATGTATAGCTGCATTGAAGGTTTACATTAGAAATAATGATCGTTCGTAATAATAATCTTTTTTACTAATGCATACATGGAATAACAATGACAGGAGAAAGTAATCACTTTAGATTTATTTTAAGCACCCACTAGAGCTTGGTAAATTGTGGAGACTGACTACTACTTTTTATTTGGATTTGATGATAGTAGCTAAAGTACAGCCAGATAAGTAGAGAATGCAGTACACCTACAAAACTCCTACATTTAGTGCTGCTGGACAATTACTAAACAGGAGGCTAAAACTACATATATCTATTTCTCTCCGTATTTAATTTTTGACCATCCAACTATGCTGAAACACACACGGAAATGTTCTCGCTCTGTTGTCTGTCATTGCACAGTGTTCTCCATCTTTTTCTCTTTTTTTTTAATCCCGAGAAATTCACTACTACGTTTGCAATCTCCTTTCCAATGGAAACTTGTAAAAAGAAAAAAAAAGAAAAACAAATAAATAAACAAGAAAGTTGCTGAAAAAGACACATAAATCATGTATAAAAAACATCCACAAAAGACTATTTGAAAACATGAAAGCTGATTTTAGAAAATTAAATCAGACAAAATTTAAAACATGGACAATTTAAAGAAATTATCAATTTAGCTTCAGAATCGATTAAGGAAATCAATCTTTTAAGCTGCAAGACATTTTTCATTTTCCAGGTTTGGTGCAAACATTTGGGACAGAGATAAAGCACCCGTTATTGGAATGCAGATAGAATTGCTTGGTGCTTTTTGGTGTTATAATTTTGGCTGTGACAGCATGCTGCACAGCCAAGAAGATACAGTGTGAAGTGTTTAAAGTGTGAAAAAAACTAGATAAGTGAATTTAGTCAACAGGGTATCACTTATCCCACTTGTGACCCTGTCTGACCAGCTGCTATAAAATCCTTCTACCCATGGTTGATTATTGAAGTATAACACAATGTAAAAGATACTGATGTTTCAGACTTTGATGATATAGATTCATTATTCAAATAAAGGAAATGTAACTAAAAGCCTACTCAGTATCTGTCAATATGTAAGATTTCAAGGCAAGTTTCTATCTGTTTGTCCTTTATAGCCAGTTAACATGCATCTATAAACACTTGACACCTGAAAAGAAACTTCCCCTGAAGATGCACAAATTGATGAAACACTTCAAAGACCAGGGGAACACAACTGACACACAACATTACAAAAACACATGAAGGCCAGAACGGCAGTAATAATAACGATTTTTAAAACAGGGCTCCCTACAGCCTGACTATTACGCCCCCATACCTACTGTACTGTTCATCAAGAATGAAGGACTAATGAGAAAATGGTTAGGGCAAATATCAGAAATTAGGAAACAAAACTCCAAAATGGTTATTTCACATTAGGGCTGCAACAACGAATCGATAAAATCGATAAAAATCGACTTTTAAAAGCGTTGGCAACGAATTTCATCATCGATTAGTTGTGTCGCGCGATTATTGCGTCATCCGCCGCGCCGTCATCACTGCCTCTTGACTGAAAGAGGAAGAAAAAAAAATATGGCAGAGCGAGTCAGCGCCGCAGGTGCAGTGTTGCCAACTCAGCGACTTTTCAGACCCCTCCAGCGACTATTTTTCAAAAAAGCGACTAGCGACAAATCTGGCGACTTTTTTCGGTGTCACTGGCGGCTTTTGGAGACTCTTACGTGAAAGCATGTATCGTTCCTACTCTGCCGTGGGGCGCCTCCCCCCACTCCTGCAGGAGTCCCTCTCAGCGCTGCAGTCAGAGCCTCAGCGTCCAGACTGCAAATGAAGCGCGCATGCACCGGGATTGACGGCGCAAATTGATCACAATAATTAAAATAGCCTGCGCTTTGTAAAGTGAAAAAAGTGATAACATGCAACTTTTGTCAAAAGAAATTAACATGGCACGGAACCACCATGTTTGTTTGGTTTTAAAGTGGGGAAACGTAACGTTAGTTTCTCAGGTAGCTCATCTGATGCTTTCCTTACCGTGTTAGTAGGTTACAGACAGTGATAAGGCTACTTATTTTACTTTTAATTTAATTTGAATTAGCTTAAGCAGCGTTTACATTTACTTTATAAATAAATTAACTTGCAAATTATGAGGGCAAGGCTTTTAAAGTTTAAATCTTCTGGCAAAGATAAAGTAAAGAGGATCCTGCAATTTATGGAAGTAAAGCAGAATAAAATCCAGCAAGATCAGTAATATGTCAATTATCTGCCACATTCCCATGTAAATTGGAGTCTTTGGAGGATGTGTTCTTTAACACCCCTAGTTCTCTCATTTTTATTCCAAATACAATTTATAATTTGAATCACAGGGCTATTTTTATCTCTATGGTTCAGTATTTTCTCAAGTAGCAACTTTAACTGCTATACTTTCCTGTCTTAAAAGGCAGAACTCTTCTAGTCTAAAAAAAACTCATTTGTTGAAATGGGGGGGCCTATTGTTTGAACCCCTTAGGGGCTTTTAAAAACAAAAATGTCTTTTTTTGCGCTTTATGAAACAAAGTAGCCTATATTTTGTGGATGTACAGCTACATTTCTCATGTAAGTTTGCGTAGTTTTAACACAAACATTTATTTTTCATATTGCACCAGTACAGTTAATGAGTAACCTGTACTTGTGTGCTTGTTTGTTCTGTCTTAAATGTTTATTTTGGAATAAAGGGGTTAATATAAAAAATATTTTTTGTCCGATTCATCGATTAATCGAAGAAATAATCGTCTGATTCATCGATTTTTAAAATAATCGTTAGTTGCAGCCCTATTTCACATACATTAGATGAATAAAAGTCCAAAGATCTTTCACCCAGATTCTATATCATACAAAGACACCTGGCTGAACACATATGCTCAACACACTGAGAGGACTAAAGTGTGAAACTATTGCCTATATTAACCATTACCACAACAATGGTGAGCTCTGAGTCACAACCTTAATCCTACTTTATGACTAGAACAATGTAGTACTGGTTGTTAAATTAAAATATATTTTGTAGATAGACTATTCAATAAATTAATACCTTTAATAGAGATTTGTTTTATGTGAATAGGAGGTCCTTGCAGAGGGGACTTCACAATACCCCTCAGCTGTAGACATTTTTGTAACTCCTCTAACTTATATTTAATGTAATTATTTAGAGGAAGTACTGCTGAATCGTTCAAAACGTTGAACATCAAACAGGCAGATGTAAAGTTTAGATAATTGTCGATCAAAAGCTTCTATTTTTACAATATCGTCATGTCTTTGTTTATAATCAGTTGCTTTAAAAGTACTAAGGTTTAAAAAAAACAGTGTAGGATTTAAGAACATTATTGCCTAATTATTTATTTGAGATGTGTCTTAATGTGGTGTTTGGAATCCCATTTGGTGATGGACACTCAAATTCATGTTCTATGCTTTAAAAATAAATCGCAAATAGAAACGTATCTTTATTCTATCATGTCTATTGTTTGAAGTGGTATATAGTCTAAGCTTTGGAGCAGTATTATCCTCTGTTAAAGCTTTGTTCCTCCTTCCTCTTTTTGATGCTCACGTGTTCTAGTCAAATTGTACCAAAATTGTTTTCTAGAGATCAAAGCAGATCTGATACACAACCAAAAATACTGTTTGGGAGGTTCCGTTTCCAGTTCGTTAGGTAGATCAGAGTTTAGAAGGGAGACACCCTTATGATCTCTTCTGAGAGACTAGTAAAGATTGTGCCTGAGGCTCTTTTGAAAGGCATTTAGCCATCTGCATAAATCTGAATAATGCAGGGTTTCCATCATGGCTGTTTAGTACATCAAAGAATACTTTGAACATAAGTGGCAACTTTAGTTCACAGTAAAACATGCAATAATGCTGCAAGTTTGAACCTTTGGGTGTACTTGTATTTGTAATATGGTTGGATCAGTGTTTTTGTATTCTTTGTAACATCATAAGCATGTATATGTAAAGAAAATTTGTCTAATTTCAATATAATCATAGATGCAATCAAACCTGCATCCTGGATTTTTGAGGGTGGTTATGTTAAAAGGAAATGAAAGGGCTTTACAAAGGTATTCATTTTACTGAAAGTTTTTCATATTTTCTAAACAGCTGCCTTTGATAAATCACTTATTTACTAAATAGAGGCAAGCTGTGTCTAATTAAGGATGTTTTCACACCTGCCACATTTGGTCTGTTTTAAACAGACCACAGTTAGCTTTTCCCCTTGTTACAGATGTTCTGTGCAGGTCTGTATAAAGACCAGTGAACTCTGGTCCGGACAAAACAACGAAACCATCACCCTTTTTTGAGGTGGTGCTTGCCGCTGTCAAAAGGACTCTGGTGCAGTCAACCTTAGTTATGATTACAAACCGACCTTGGTCCAAGCCATATTCAAAAAACCTACCTCTTCACACCTAACTAGCTACCAAAGGCAGAAAAGTAGTATCACAATCTTATTTTTTCCATCTGCTACTAACAAGCGGCTTTGTCCGTCGTGTCGAGGGAGTGCTGGTCTAGTGGTTAGAGTAGTATGCTTGTGCTCTTAGAAGGTTGAAAGTACCTGGTTCGTTCCCTACAACCTCCACTCTGGGTCACTGAGCAAAACCATTAACCCCACACTGCTGGGCACCGCACAGTGGCTGCCCACTGCTCCCCAAGAGGATGGGTTAAATGCAGAGAGTGTGAGATCACTAAAGATCAATTTATTTTATTATTTACAACTTTAAAATCAAAAGGTCTTGTGATTTAGGGCCACTGCTGGGAAGTCATATGTGTGCACTTGAGCTGTTTAGGTCCAAGGGCACCCACTACCAGAGGGTGCTTGTTGGTGAGAGCAAAGGGCAGTGTGTTATCTGAAGCTTACAGGTCCCCATACACAAGACAAAATGCTCCCAGATCTGTAGTACCATTTCCAGGTGGAACCTCCATTTGCCAACTTTGGTTTCCTCTTGGAAAGCAGAGCCTCTTTCAAATTCTGGTTTAGTGGAGGATTTTTGCAAATTTTTGAAATACCTGCCTTCTCCACTTAAAAAAAATGCAAAAGGGAACACCTATTAAACGCGTGCTAGAGCGTGCATGAGCCCATTTCTCCTCGTGCCTGCTCTGTTTAAAGTTGCTGTTTGCATCGCTCATACAAACTTAATTTCCAAAAGATGACTACTTAATTGATAGCAATTGTACTTTATTAAACTCACAATGGAGAAATTCACCTCTGCATTTAACCCATCCCATTGGGGAGCAGTGAGCTGCCATTGTGCAGCGCCCGTTGAGCAGTGTGGGGTTAGGGGTCTTGCTCAAGGACCCAGAGTGCAGGCTGTGGGGATCTAATGAGGTACCTGCAACCTTCTCAGAGCACAAGTGCACTGCTCCTAACCACTAGGCCAACAATCCCCTACAGTACAGTAGGTCTAAGGGCAGACTCACTGCCGGTAGGGGAAAACCTACTGGCAAACCTATCATCAGATTGACGGAATATTATGAGGGTTTTGATGATCCTCTCAGAAAACGAACATCCTCCACTATACCTTGAAGTTGTTTTCAGGGAGAGGAGATGTACAGTGTCCACATAGTAGTCTGTGTGTCAGCTTGTATGACCAAAGGTCGCTAGTTACCCAGTTTGTTTTGAATGCCACGGCCATAGTTTTGTATAGCTAGTCCCTATACCCCATTTTAAAACCTTCACCTAACACTAACCTGTCAGTGGTTATACCTTTGTTATCCTGTTCCTCATCACTACAATGGAACCCTCTGAGTGAGGGTGTCTTTATCATACAAGGTTAGAATTAGAGAAGACAACAGACAACAGGACTGGAAAGGGTAACGCTAAAATTCTCTAAATTAACAACTCTCTGACTTTAGAAATGGACTCTCCAGACTCTCTAATGGAAATGTCTTGAGAGCTGTACTGTGTGCAAAATGACAATAAAGTCTGTCCAAGTCTAAGTCTAAGTCTTCTTCATTCCCAGAAAGGAGATTCTGCAGGAATACTTTGAAATCTCAACCGTCCTAAGTCAAGACGTAATGAAGATTCACAACGAGATGGCATCCGCCCTCGCGGCCATCGACCCACACAGGGAATATGAAAGCTTTATCCAGCAGAATCGGTATGCAGAAGCAAAAGTTTTAAATGCAAGAGATCATGAACCATCCTTAGAGGCAAAGCTGTGAAGTCTGTATTTCTATTCACAGGTCTGTTGGGGAGATACCTGTTTGTACAGACTTTGACTGCAGCCTCCTAGAGGAGACTGACAGGCTGAAGCCCAAAGAGATTGAGCTGAATGACCTCACTCTTGAGACAATCCAGCATAAGTGAGAACAAAAACACTATCTTGTTGAGATAGCAATAGTCTACCCTCCATTGTTATCTTGATGACTTCCTCTTCTTCTTTTCTGTTAACCTTTCTGTGAAGCGCCTCCTTTACTTCCCCTCTTTCTTATGGTACCTGTGTGATCTTAGGCTGACAGCCATAGAAGAGGAATTGCTGAACCTGGCGCGGTCTCTAGGCTCTCAGCAGACATCTGTTGAGCAGCTGGAGCTGGAACTGGAAAAAGAGCAGGAGGGAAACAAAAAAGGCCAGAGGTGAGGAGAACCAATAAGCTGCTGGGTTGTTTTCACCCAATCAAATAAAACTAATTTACCGTGGTGAATTGTGGAAGCAAGGGACTTTATTAATGATAATAATGCAGTAATATGAACGTAGTCATCAATCTAAGTCAATCTCCCTCGTCTACTTGACTTGCCTGATTGAGGTATGAGGTTTGATCCATTCAATGATGAGATCTTGGAGGACAACAGGGAATATATTGTTTATTTGACTGTCATTAAAGACTGGCAGAGTACATCCCGTTTTGGATGCAAAAATCTGGGACGAAACCTCATGGCCATTATTTATGGTAAAAAAAAAAAAAGATGATGCATTAGATGTTTCTTCTGCAAGCTCAAGATAACTCTCTACAGACATTGTTCAGAGGAAAGTATTGCTTTAAAGGGCTGTGCAGAGACCACTATAGAGGAGAGTGCTTAAAATGAAACCAAAACTAAGGGACAAAAAAGGGGCACATATGACTGGATACGAAGGGAAAATACTTACTGGATTTAAAGATTTAGAGATCACACGGATTTAAAACTTCAATGTATCAAAGTGGATTATAAAATATTAAGCATGTGGAAATAGATACAACTGAATCAAACATATAGGGAAAACTATAGTATAAAAAGCACCACCAAACATAAATGTATTAGATGTTTTAAAGCAATCTGTTAAAATAAAAACAAACAAGCACAACTTGTACTGAGTACTGTGATAAAGGCCCTAATATAAGAGCAGCCTGGGCTTTGCAATAACAAACAAGTATCTGAGAGGTAAAAAAAATAGGTTAAGCATTAGCACCAAAGCTAACTGCAACTAAATTGCATTTCCCTATTTATACAGATATGATGTTGACTAGTAAAAGATTACCTAACATTAACTATCTGGTCAATATGCAAGTATGTATTTAAAGGGTTGGTACTTCATATTCTTAAAGCAAAACAAAATGCTGCAGATGATTTACAAAAACCAAAAATACAAGAGTTTGAAGTGTTTTAAACTGAACATATTATTTTATGGACTATATGCCATTGCCGTCTCTAAAAACTCCTATCATTTGGTAATCTAGATATTTAACTTTGGCTGCACCAGCCAATCAGACCCTTTCTGGCTTTAAAATCTTCCAGATGTGACTGAACGCCATTTCTCTTATCAGTTTTTTTTATTTTTTTATTGATTTTGAAAAGAGATGCTCTGGTGTTTGATATGAAATATCAAACTTTATTGATACAGTATATATGAAAAAAAAGAAAGAAATATCAATCTTTAGTTATTGTGCAGCACCCAGGGAGCATTGTGGGGTTAAGGGTCTTTGCTCAGTGGGAGTGGGGCTCAAACTCAGAACCTTTGGATTCCAATCGCAATGCCCTAACCACTAGGCTGCCCTAACACTACAAACAATTTATTTAACAATAATTATCCTTAGAGTCATTCCTGAAGGATTTCCATATTATCTCAAAAAGATTATGACAGATGACAAAAAAATATATATATTAAACGATATCTTGTAACAAAATACAACAACAACTAAAGCAACTTGATTTGGGAAAAAGCATTAAAAGAACTGGATAAAAAAAAACCTTCAATTAAATATGTTTTACCGCAAATTATTCTCCCAGTTTGCTCACATTTGTTCCAGTCCTGTCTCTCTGATTAATGTAATAATTTAATGGTCCAACTGTTTAGTTTGCTTTGCTACCTGCTTTTGTCATGTTTTTTTTTCTTTACTTTCTTTTATTTTCCTTCTATTTCATTGTTTAAAGCACTTTGGATTGTCTTTGTACTGAATTATGCGATACAAATAAACTTGCCTTACATGTTTCACTTCAGTGAAAGATATTTTGTGATCTATTACTTTGAATAAAAACATTACAAAACATAGAGCTCATTGGGCTTTATAGGAGTTGGACTAACGACACACTCCCATCAACAGGGTTTTCTAGGGGAGCTTTTTTCACCTTTGCAGAGGCTCTGTCAGAACCAGTCGGTGCAGGTTGAGTTGCCTGTCGTCCGACATCTGTAAACAAGCCTTTGTACCACAAGCGCTGTTTTTTCTTGTAAGTAATGGGTATGTGGCGACGTACATGAACCACAGGGAGACTTTCATACTGTCCTTGTGCTCAGAAAATGCAGTCCTCTTCTTTGACACGTTGAGCCCCATCTCAGCTCATACCTCATCTCCATGCTGAAGCAGAGAGGATCATAGACTATAGTTTGTGTCATCAGTTAAGTGTTCTTAAGCATACAATTTGTTTGTTGATCAACAATTGCTTTAAAATCTCGACTGAAGGCGACCTATTCCGAGCTCAACTCTGAGACAAAGTAGGAGGGCACTGTCAGGTCGTTTCTCATACTAAACACATCAAAAGATAACATTATACATGTTTTCATCATGTGTCAGAAAAGGAATTGGGGAAATAAAATTAATTAAATAAAATAAAAAAATCCCTTGTGGGCTGGGAGCAAAAGGGGCAAGCGATGGCTTATCCAATAAATAAAACAATGAGAAAACCGAATTAAAGGCTGGTTATGTCTCAGCAGTAAGCCACCCTCTTTGATAAAACAATGAGCTAAGACGGTTACCATTTACCCAAGACTGGACTGAATGAAAATTGTTCCAGATTTTATGAGTCTTTAAAATGAAGATGTTTTTGGTGGAGGAAAGTTTACCTGAAGAACAGCAACTTAAAGGCACACTACATCATAAATCTGGTGAATCTAGTGACGCCCAGATGTTTCTCCCATTGATGCTTAAATACTGGAAGGGGTCTTCTGTAATTTTCAAACTTTAAAAACACTTAAAGATGTCAAGCTGCATGTTTCTAAAGAGGAAATGTATTTACATTTTTCTTTTATTAGAAAATGGCCCCACATTCTCTTTTGTAAATAAGGAGTGCCAGCACAACAAAACTAGATTTGATCAGTCGAGTCTCCTGACATTTATACAATCCGGGGGTTGAATACATCATTTTAACACAATTTGGTTTGCTGTAACAGCTGTTATGATACCAGCAACATTTGTAAGAATAAGGTACATTTTGTGCTGATCTGTCTGCAAATAATAACTACAGAAAGGGTATTACTTGATATAGGATTTTTTGAATTAATTACTATTGTGTTTTTTTACTGCTTGAAATATTTCTTCAACCCTTTGGAAAATTTGAGATACTTCATTAAAATTCTGAGTTGCATTCCAGAGACTCCTGCCTCAGTATTTCAGAGTACTAACAACCTTTAAGCTGAAAGGCAGATGGTAATGCCTAGCATGCAAGCCAGGATGTTTTGTGGTCACAAGCAAACTTGTGGTTTTTGAACTCGTTTTCGATTAGTTTCAAGGATCCTTATAGCTGGCTGCAGAATGTGAACTTCACCATGTGTAAAACCAAACAACATCGTAATGTCAATACTGTTTTTACTCTGTTCAGGGTCTATCAGTTCAGCAAGAGACATGCGATGGAGGAGTGCAGACAGCAAGTTGCTCTGTCTCAGGGTATAAAAGCCAAACTGGAGGTTCAGAGGCTTCTGCTTAAGGAGAAACTGGACGTGCTGGGCTTCAGAGAACCTCCACTCGCCCTGAGGCTGGACATGGACTCTGTTTCCCTTTCATCCAATATAAGCATTGTATGTTGTCTCCTCTGCTGGGTTTTCTCCGTTTTCTTCTTTCATCAGCTGTAGCCAGTTCTTTCACACTAGTGAATAAGTAGGCTGAACATCTTTCTAAATATATGTCATAACATCTGGGCATTGAGGTGGTGAAGTACTAAAAATTATTAAGTCAATATAATTCTCTAAACCTTCTTGGTACAAAGACTAAGGACATAAAAGTGGGGACCAAATCAAACCTGCAGCCGAGAAACTGCTAAACAGAAAAATTTGCAGAAATCTTATAAAGGAAGCAAAACTGATGCAACCAACTGCCTTTACTTTGATACAGTATACAGGCTGTATTTCTTATTTTTATAATCATGGCACACTAAAATAAACAAATCATGCTTTGGTTTCTCATCAAAATTTAATTTAATAATAATTTAATAATAAAATTATTAACAAAGTTAATAAGTTTAACTTTATAGTCAAGTGGGAATGCTTATGCATTCCCACTTATTGTTTTTCTGTTTCTCTTTATCAAGTGGGAATGCTTATGCATTCCCACTTATTGTTGTTCACTTTTAATTTTTCTGACTCTAACTAGTCCCACAGTTTTCAACCGATTTCAACAATTTTGGTATCAAAACGTTCAGCTCGTTCAGGAGAATTCTGCTATGTCTTTTGGTTAAGATATTTTTTGTAGTTTTCGCAATATTCAGCTTTTTCTGCGTTTTTTTGGCCCCATTGAAATGCATTTAAAACTTCAAAAATTCCACTAAATCTTCAGCTACTTTGCCCTTTAACTACTTCAGCATACTTTCAGCTAGAAACACCATTCAACTTTTAAAATCTATCTGTATCTTTCTGCTATTACTGTTTAACTCGGCTTTCAGCTAACTTTTACGGTTTTGCTTCAGTGAAGCTTCAAACTTTTAAAGAATTTTTAAAGATTTTCAAATTTATAATGGAAGTCTATGGACGGAATGTTCAGCAGCTAGAGTGTGCCACTCTAGCGTTTTCAAACATTTCACTTATGCCGAACAGCTTCAACTCACTCGCTCATTTTTTACTCTATCTAGATAAATTTTACATCAAAACGTAGGGATTTTTGTCAGGATTCAGGAAATGTAACCCTTATTTGTGTGGCGTTTACAGTTTTCCGACAGTTTGGCCCAGACCACGAAGAAGTCCACACTTCCCCAATAGAAATCCAATGAGAGCTCTCTGAAAATCCGAACTTAAAATTCAAAACAACAGACTTTTTCGTATCGCTCCCATTTGGGAACCGTTCGACATAGCAACATGAGCCTTGCTGAAGTTGTTCCTCAGACCTTGCTAGCACTCACATTGAAGGAAGTGTGTCGATATCTTTTATCGTTTAGCCAGGAAAAAGGTTTGTTCGGGGGTAACAAATCTGTCCGAACCCCAAAGTCAAGATTTTGACAATTATACACTTTTTTACATCGTCACCACGCCTAGACGAAATATTGTAGAAATATGAAAGTTACACCAGTTGTAGTCCAAAGATGGCTGACGCTCACGGTGAAAGAATTTTTTGAATACCTAATACGGTTTTGGCTCACCGCTCGTTTGTTCGGAGGGAAAGTTTTGCTTTTGAGAGTTCTGCTCTACCATTAAGCTGCATGTTATTCAATGAGACCAGCAGGATTTCTCAAACCTTTTTATTCCTCCTTCCCATTAAGGTTGTGAATGAGCTACATCCATGAAAGTTACCCCAATCGGAGACAAAGGATAGCTCTCGCTTAGACTGAAAGAATTTTTTAGATACCATTTACGGTTTGTCTTCAGCACTTGTTTGTTCGGAGCTGATAATCCCATTCAAAAAAGCCTGAGAACTAAGGAACGAAAGTGATGCGCATGTGTCTCTGTCACTGACAGGCTCGTTAACGTTGTCAAGGTAACCGTGCTTCAAAGGATTTTACCTCCACCACTTTAAACAGCACATTTTAATCTAATGGAGGGAGACAACACTGATTTAACATTAGGAAGTGGATACAATATGACTACTGGCCATGACCCTTCCCTTCACACGCAACCCTGATAGACTTTCAAAATAAGACTCCGGGGACCCTTCAAAATAAAAGCCCCTACATTAAACTCATATTTTTTTCCCAGCATATGGCTCAACATTATGACCCAAACTCAACCACTTTTAAAAAAAAATGAGACTAGGGGTTTTTCAAAACACACCCCACAGCAAATTTCAAAATAAAAGCCTCCCATTTTCACTTCATCTACTGCCCTAATAACAGGGGAAAGAGTGATTTAATGATTGGAAAGTCATCAAGTATCACTGCTGGGTCTCAACACACAACCCTGCTAGACTTTCAAAATAAGACTCCAGTGACTCTTCAAAATAAAAGCCTCCGTATTGTACTTGTGTATTAATTGATGCAAATGGCCCAGCATTATGACCCAAACTCTACCATTTTGTTTCTATTAGACTCTAGGGACCTTTTCAAAACATACCCCAGAGCAAATTTCACAATAAAAGTCTCCCATTTACGCTCTAATACAGCATCTATTCACCCAATAACATGGAAAACCAGTGATTTCATATTTAGAAATGGATTCTATATCACTGCTGAGCATGACCCTTCCCTTGACACACATCCATGATAGACTTTCAAAATAAGACTAAAGGGAACCTACAAAATAAAAGCCTCTTCCTTACGCACACTCATTCATTGTGCCGTATGGCTTGTAGCTATGACCCAAAGTCAACCAATTTCTTCCAATTACACTACCAAGGCCTGTTGACCACACACCTCAGTGCATATTTCTTAATCAGGTTCTAAGATTTACACTGTTATAAAGCATCTGCTAACCTTGTAACATGCAGCCTAAGCCTGCCAACGGTGCTTTCATTACCACAGCGGCTCGTAACATGCAGGTTAATTTTGTTTGATAAATTCAGCTCTTTAAGTGTTATTAGCTCTCTTTCTATAAGCTTCTCTCTCTGTCCTTCCTCTACTTCTCATGGTCAGTCTTGCACATAGGTTTGTAGATTTTCAATCCTCTAAGGATGACACTGTTTTCTTTATGCTGATCAACCGACACATTCTAAATAATTTTCCAATTGTTTTGCCAAGTCTTGACATTTCCACATATGATTTCAAAATGTTAAGACTTATTCAATACCATCGTCCTCAACATTTTACTTCCCATCCTTAAGCTACTAATTTTTTCTTCAACCAGATAAGATTAAAGTTTTTCTTTGTAATTTCTTTTCTACTTCGGCTAATTTCATACTTTTCAGCCTATGTTGTGAACTTTGGCTTCATTCTGCTCTGTTTCTGGACAGGAATTAAGCTTTTCTGTTTGCTGCTAATTCATAACACGCCTGACATGTTTCTGGAAAGTAGGTAAACCCCCCTTCAAAATTTCTTTATACATTTTTCTAGAAACGTGGGAGACATTATATTAAGACCCTTCTAGTGCCCACATTCAAGACATTTTTTGATATCATGTATGGTTTGGCTGTGCAGATTTTAAGATGAGTTTGTTTCTGCCATTTTACTGCCAAATGATTCTACCCTACAAAATCTTCAGATGATTCAATTGTTTTCTGCAGTTTGAAGTTTCTGATGACTTCCTATCACATTTTCATATGTTATGCAGGTAATTTCAGCTTTTTTCATTCAGCAAAAGCATTCCCACTTTGATGTTTCTCAGAAACAGCTTTTTCTAGTTTAATTTGTTATTTCCAGATTAATAATCCAAACATCAGTTTAGTATAGTAGTGTAGTATAACATAAACTACTTTCCAATCACTGTGCCTTGATTACACATAACTCTGTTTTAGATAATTACATAATCTCTAGCTGGTATCATTGTGCAAGGAAACGCACAGAAATATTTACCCGGTTGTTGCAAATGAATAAATGTTTGTTGTTTATTTCCTCATTTATGTTCTAGAGGGGATGCTGTTCAAACAAGAATCTCGAACAATCAAACATCTAAATAGAAAAACAATAGTTCTAACCCCAAAACCGACTTCAGCAAAGGTTCTGACTAGGAAGAAGACAGAAAAGATATCATTTAAAGAAAATGTCTTCTTTTGATCATCGTTTTGTGGTCTATTTCATGAAAATATCCTTGCTTCCATTTTGATGGTTACATTTAAATTGATCATAATCTCTTTTCTGTTATCCATCAGGAAAACCCTGTTAATTCAGGGAAAGTCCTCGTGGATGGCGTCATGAACCATCTGAGCAACCTGTTTAGACAGAAACCTGAGGTAAGGAAATTGTCATTCCAGTGACAGGTGACGTTTTAGTCCAAAAGTTATTTTACAGTATTCTGTGGTATATATATATATATATATATATATATATATATATATATATATATAAATATATATATACACAGCTGAAATCTCTTATTTAACTGAAGTTCAAACATCACTGGAAACCAAAAAAGGTAGTCTAAAAAGCAGAGTTATCATGAAAAGTAGTGAAATAAACCTTTTTTGGTAACAACTTAAAACATAAGCACCTCATTACTTTTTTTGCAGTTGTTTCATGCTTTCTTATTTCTTTATTTACATACAAACTGTTGAGGAACCGTTAGCCAAGTGCAGTCAGTTCCATACCAAAGATCAGCCGCTAATCACATTATATTTAAGGGGAAACTATTAGTCAAAACCTGGTGATCAATACATAAATATGAGACAAAAAAAAAGCTTTATTAGCTTACCTGACCCTTACCAAAGCACTTATTTAGACAAACCAGGCCTATTTATATAATTTTTGTAGCAAGACGATTCAAAGGGCTGTACATAAAAAAGTTACATGATGAAACATAATGGCAAATGACAGAGAAAAGTAGCATGCAGTGGCATAAGAGTATTAAAACAATTAATCAACAAAAAAATAAAAGGGAATAAAAATAATTAAAGTTCTAAAATGATAATAAAAAGTAATAATAGACTGAATTATAATAAAATGAAATAAAGTTGGACAAAAACTAAATTAAAAGTGTTTAGATAGCTCAGTCAAAGGCCACTCTAAACAAATTCTTTATTAGCATTAGTAGAGTGATTTTTAAAACGATCCCACCAGGGGCCCAGGTTTATCCTGGAAAATTATCCTATTATGACAGTTACCACTAGGGCCCAGTCTGTAGTAGAGAGAAGATATTTAAAGGTCCTGATTTTGAGGATATAGATGAGGAGGTGGAGGGGCTCTGTGGCTTTTGGAAGATATTGGTTTCATAGAAAGGCTTGGGCCATGGGACGTTTTGGGATTGTTACTTAAAAATGTAACTAGGTATAGTGTCATGTTACTTACTCCCAGAAAGTAACAGCTTAATCAAAGTCATTTTTTATTTGATATGACTTTTGTAGTTTCATATGACTTTTCTGTTATGCGAAAAATGAAATACAACTGGAGGTTCAATTTTCCAAAATAGTGTGTCTCATACTAATAAATTAAATAAGTCATTGATTCATCAAAAGGACTACATATCTGAAAATATATACCTATCTGAACTACTGTCTGTGGTGGGGCAAGGCAACCAAGATACTTAATTGACACATATTTATATCAATGGGATTATGTTTAAAATAAAAGAAAGAATTAAGCATCTTGAAATTTATGCACATTAACATGCTTCAACTGGCTATAAAATAGTAATAAAGCTGAAATTTGTGTTTTAAAGGAATTTATAAAAAAATTAGATACATTTTTGATTAGATTAAACAGAGTCATTGTTTAAAAAAAAAACACAAACCCATTAACACTGCCTTACAGTACACCCAGGTATAACAACAAAAAGGAGCACCCTGTACCATGCAAGGAAATTCCTTATAACGGTAGTAAAGAAGTAAAAAGGAAGGTATTGCTAAAATAAGGCAGCCAGTGTTAAGTCAGTGTTGTTGATTGTGAGATGTCATAGGGAGTTTTATTATATCAAAGCTGCTTGTAACTAATGTGTATTAAGTCTATGTTCCTGAATATAATAATAAGCAAATCCCTGTTTTGAAATGCTGTTTCTGCACTGAAACGCTTCTTCCCTGCAGCTGATAGCAGGTCTATGAAAAGTTGTTTTTCTTGATTAAGTTGAAATAACATACTGTGTTAGATTGCAACTGATGTAATGGGATTATCAATATGTTTAAATAATTAGATTAGCCTACTACTTCTAATACTGCCATCACTGAGCATTGGGGAGGGCAGGGGGGTTACAGAGAAGAAGCAGGAGTTGGGTCTCAATCTTAAAACTAACATGACTAACTAACTAACATGACGTTAGTGAAATCCAGTAAAGCAAAATCTGGGTTTGGTGGATCTAGAGGAGAGTTTGGTGTGGTCCTAGTCAGCATCTGTGGGGAGGGAGGTTTAACAAGGGGGTCCACTTTGTTCTTGTTGTAGTTAACAAGGAGACCAGCTTTGATTAGCTCTCTGAGCCATCTGTCTGGTTATGGCTGTCTTGCCTGCAGCAGGCTGTGTCAGGCTTAACACTTGTTTTCTTTTTCATGAGCTCTGCTCAAGGTTGAGACTGCTGGTGGAGGATTCAGAGAATAAAACAGATTAGATGTGAGGTGATTTTATCCAAACTTGAAAAAATATCTTTTCACTCAGAAAATATTAAACTTGCCATTGGAGATCTTAGATGTTAAGGTCTGTTAAGGAATACCTTAAAATTTGTATCTCTAACTTTATTCAGCAGATGCATAAAATTCTCCTTCAATTCTTTTGATATTTTTTAGATGTTGTCGTGGCTGCAAAGTGTATGATGAGTTTTTCTTGGGTTGGACACTCTTCTGTGACTGCCAGAATAATTTATGAGAAATCATACATCGTACATTGTTCGTGTTTGATTAAAGCAGTGGTTCCCAAAGTGTGGGGCGCGCCCCCTAGAGGGGGCGCAATGCCATTGCAGGGGGGGCGCGGGAAGCGGTATGAGTGAAGAAAAAAAAAAAAAAAAAAAAAAAAACAGCGCTTGCTTGACTGAGCATAATGGACAGTTGTGACACTGCAACCCAGATTTGAGAAGATCTACAGCAAAAAGCAGGCTCACTACAGCCACTGAAAAGATGGGAGGATTAAAGTACAAAGAAAAAACTCTCAGGGAGCTGTTCAATGTTTTCACTCCATTTTGCACAGAGGCTTTTTTAATGTATAGATTATAGCAAAGTTAAATATTGTTACAAATAAAAAAAAAAGAAATATGTTTAAAATAACACAGACAACAAAGAATCCTCTTCTAATCTACAGTGTAGAACTATGAAAAAAATACCGTTACACAAAAGTGTTACACTGTAAAGATGGTGTTTGTTTTGTTGCAACCTGAAGTGTGAAATAAACTTCAGTGGAGTTTGAAAACAAAATATGTGTATAGATTTATTATATCTGTTTTTTTTTTTTTTTGGGGGGGGGGGGGGGGGGGGGGGGGGGGGGGGTCGGGGGGTTATGGGGGGGGCGTGGACATTTTATTGTAATCCAAAGGGGGGCCCAGAAGAAAATCTTTGGGAACCACTGGATTAAAGAAACATGAAAAGATCGAATAATGGAAAAATAAAACATACACCTCAATACATTTTGTTAGGAGATTGGCGAAAGAAGTCATAGCGGCACCTTAGTTATAACATTCTAGCAAGAAGGAGAACAAAAAGTTCAAGTCGGCTTGCTCTGATCTCACGGAGGTGTTCTAATGTTTTAAACCTTTCTTCAGCAGAAGATGTCATAAAACAGATATGCATGAAGGAGACAGTAAGATTGATGCTTGGGAGCAGATACTAGCTGGAGTTCTGTGGAAAGGGGAAACAAAAAAAATGCTGATAGGAGGCAAATAGGTAGAGGAGATCTAGAGAGACCTAGCTGAAGTTGCATATACTTCACAGTGGACATTGTTATGGACAGTAAAATGATTTCGCACACACTAAGTAAAACATGCGGTAGCCTAGTTCTTTAAAAAGGCTGATTTTATCCTCAATGTTAACAACCAATATAGCCAATCTAATATTTAACCTTGCATTGAGACAGCCAGTATATATTTTCAATTAACAGTTCCCTCAGAAAGAAAGTTGAAATAATGCTATTTCCTTGGGGTCACTGTTATTGGAAGTTAAAGTTCAACATTTCCGTATTTTATTTTCCAATATGTAACTTAACAGCATTACCCTTGTTGGAAAGTGTGTCTGAAACTGTAGATGTTTATTTGACAGGCCCTGACAGCAGGGAAAACTACAGAAACTGCACAAAATAAAGTGAAAAATTTAGTGCAGAATAAAAATGAGAATTTCATGCCCTCTGCCAGATGGAACTGGTTCAGCCTGTCCATAACTAAATCTTTTTTTTTTTTTGAGGAAGTGCGATTCGTTTGAGACAACCATGACTTGGCTCAATTTAAGTGAATCTAAAATTAATCAAATCCCAGTTCTCCCGGAGGGGCCTCCAGTGTAAAACTTTGCCCAGTTTGTGTTGTGGTGCCATCGTCTGAATGTGTTTGTAGCTGAAGTGACACAAACATATATCGTATTCTCCTATATTGTTACCATCCATTGTTAATGCCAGGCTTAACGAATTAACAAAAGAGAAAACATTCAAATCTGTTATTAATGTATTTGTGTTGTTTTTTAATCAGATTTGAGTCATTTCATAAAGTGTTTTTCTATTTACTATCAAACTTTTTTCAGCACACAAAAATACATACATCACTGGTTAAAGTTGTTATATAAATACGACTAAACCACATTTGTCCCAGATGAGTTTAATGTCCTTCATCTTTTGGTCTTACCTGAGTGCATATAGACTGCAGGGCCTGTTTTTGACTCCCCTACCCTCTCGCTATACAACAAACAATAAATTATTCTGTAGAAACTGTCAGAGTTTCAGAGGACGTCCTCTGGGTTTAACGTGCTCTGACAGCACGTTACACGGACATTTTAAGGTCAACTGCTTTCAGAATACTACCTGACACAAATTCAACTTTACCTGACATGCAGCAACTTTACAAAATGGTGAAAATCTAAATATTTTACTTATAAAAATTACTGTGCAGTGGATATTTTGGCCATCTGAGGACATGATGATATCTAATGTGCTACACCTAAAGTATTACATGCAGTTTCTGTATGAAATGCTCCATTTCTATTTTATATCACCCAACAGGAATATATGATAGAGCACTCAGGCTTTCAACTTTTAAAGACTCTTTTCTGAATTGTCTTCACATATTTCTTCACAATCTGTGTAAAAAAAAACAAAAAACAAAAGTTTGTCCTCTTCCTATTTCTATTTTATTAAGATTCCTGCCAACTTCAATTAGGATCCACTTTTCTTCCCTCCCCATGCTTCCAGGTTCTCCCAGTCCTCTCTGCCGTGCAGGAAGTGGACCGTCCGCTTCCTCAGCAAGACTGGTACCATGGAGCCATTCCCCGACTGGAAGTCCAGCAGCTGCTCCAGAATGATGGAGACTTTCTAGTGAGACAGAGTCAGGAAAAACAGGTTTATGTCATCTCTGTGCAATGGGAAGGATCATGCAAGCACTTCCTCATTCAGAACACGGATGTGAGTTAACCTTTAAAAAAGGCACTGTATGTGTTTCACTTTCTTACATCATTCCAGCCACAATTAAAACTCCCACATGAAAGCACATGAAAAACATTTTTCTTTCATTCTTTTGATTCATGAAAATAATAGAATTATTTATTGTTATTGTTATTTTCCCAATCTGGTTGATTTATCTTTAAACTAAAAACTAATTAGGCATAACAGCATATCAGTTAATTAATCTAACAATCAAAGAATGTTCTCATAACCCTTTTTCTTGTCTGAACAGTTTTTCTTCTTGTTTGCCCAATGGCTCACCTCTTTCAACCCTTTTCCATGTGTGTCAGTAGAATTTGTATCGTCTGGATGGAGAAGGCTTCACCAGCATCCCAAAGCTTATCCATCACCTGCATTCGTCACGCCTGCCTGTCACCAAAAAGTCGGAGGCTGTCCTAAAGAAACCTATAGTGAAAGTAAACCTCAGCCTCACTCACACACCAACAGAAATGCATATATTTTACAAATAATTAAAGTTTATACTCTTTATTTTAGTGCACACATAATCATTTACAACTTCTCTCACCTATCAACTATATTCCTGATTATGATTCTCATTCGTTGCTGAAGATTCTCAGTCATTCAGGTCATAGTCATTCCAAAAAAGTTAAAAACAATCCCCTGGACTTTGTTTCCATGTTTGAAGACGTTTCGCTCTCCATCCATCGCTTTTTCAATTCAAAATGATAGAATTAGCGTTAAGTTTGAGGCTTTATAGAGTGGACCGAAAACAAAACGTTGTTTTGGCTCAGAAAACATGCAAATTGAACCGGACAAACAGGTATGCCCCTTAGGAATGGGCAGTCGCTTGGTTTCTTTGTTACCCTGCAATACCTGATATCTGTCTATGTCTCAGAAAGGGGGGTCGTGAGGGGGAATTGTTGGCGTGGGTGCAAAGGCGAGACGTTCTGTTCCCCTGTAAAGGGGTTTGTTGGTTGCGATGATAGTGGGAAGGAATCAACTCTATTGCTGCATTGTAGGGTCTTGAAAGCTGAAATCTGAGTCCACCCCCTCAATTTAAGGTTGTTTTTTCTTTCTTATCACAAATGGCTTCCTTCACATATGTGTCAACCACATATCTAAACCAGTGGCTTGGTGGTGTTCCTCTGAAGGTGCCCAAAGCTCTCTTTTCCATTTCTTCCATGTAAAGATTGGCTACAATGGATGGGAAGTGAAACGTCTTCAAACTTGGAAACAAAGTCCAGTTTATTTTTTTACTCTTTTGGAATGACTCTGACTAATTTTCCGAGCTATGACACAAACAGTGTTGAGTCCTCATCCCTCAGGTTTGGGTGTTAATAACCTTAAATTTAAGTTTGCAATAGTTTTATTATCCTAAATCAAAATATTTTCACAGGTTTCTTTGGGAGGTGAGGAGAAATTATTCTAAATACTTGTTTTTCCACTTCCTGGCATAGATTACTGTATATCTTTATTTTGTTTTGCCAACAAGAAGTTTTTTCCTTAGAAAACAATCAGTTTTCTGCCATTCATCCATGTTTCATTACGTTTGAGATTTTTATGTTTTGCGAAGATTTGCTCTTAAAAGTCCAGAGTTGTAACCAACATAGACTTCATAAAGATAAGATATGAACATCAGTCATTCTTCGGCCTCTTTCTAACCTGCTGCCGTCAAAGTTTAAAACAGCTTATCCATGTCTACCTTTGGCTTCTAACCCCTGCAGGACAAATGGGTGCTGGAACATGACGACATTATCTTGGGACCTCTCATTGGAAAGGCGGGTACATCTCATATCTACCAGCAAGATATATTTTAGTGATGTGAATAAATGCTGTTATATGCTTCTATCGCCGTTGACTGTAATAGATTCCAGAGAAGGTCATAGACAAAAAAAAACAAGCTTTCTCATCGCTACTTGGTATACAGGTGCATCTCCCCTGAGGTTTTTATTTCAAATACCTGTTTTTTTTAGCTCCTGCCGTTGCAGCTTAGACATGTCAGTTTTAGGTCACTGGAAATCTCTTTTTAATTTTAGTTTAGTTAAGGAGTAAAATTTCTAAACAGCAGGAAGAGTAATAATGTTGACTGCCTTCACTTAAACTGCTTTAGGGGGGGATCGCCACAGTGGTCCCACTTAATTATGTTTGATGGCTACAGGTCAGCATCACTGCTGGGTATAAAATGTACACCACAGGGAGGCTGCGGAAAAGTTAACTCATCTATGAGACATAGCCTTCCAGCATTTTTTGCAGTTTAAAAGAAAACTTTCATTGCTGTGTATGAGAGGAATCTATCATCTGGCCTATGTCAGGTACTAAATATTAATGAATTTAGACAATCTGAATAAATCTAAGGCTAAATCAGTGGGGGTTAAGAATCAGTTTGAATATTCAATTTTCATTTTAATTACGTGAGTAACTTTAATAAAGCATGATTGGGTTACATATATATACTATCATTTTTCTTTATATTTACACACAAACTATTGCATGAGGCTATGGAGTCTAAGATGCAGCTTTTGGATTCAGTATCAACAATATGAAACCACAGCATTTAGTCTCCTAAAGTCACCAGTTTTAAGTTTTGTTGGAATAAGGTGTGATGCAACATACGTAATGTGCTGCTGCAGTCAGTTTCAATATTAGTTTATATTTTGTTTATGTTGCACAACATCCCAGCTCTTGTAAGAACTCAATACATGGTTCAAAAGGTTTGTCCCTAGTTAGGAGTGCAGAAAAAAAACAGCTTAAAACCTGTATTGTTCTGCAAAAATACTTTAATTGATAACATCCCAGAAAGCTGCATTCTTTAATAATTTCAGTGTTTGGACCTTTAAAATTTGAGAAAAAAGGAGAAAGCAGAATGTAAAGAGAAACAATCGACAGAATGTCACCAAGAACATAAAGATTTACAGGTCATTAAACAAATACAGTAAATGCAACAAAAGAGCCCAGATAAAAATGAAGAAATTGATCGAGACAAAGCTTGAATGAGTATATTAAAAGTTTAAATATGGCTTTGCAGGGGAACTTTGGAGAAGTGTACAGCGGCCGTTTACGTGCAGATAATACTCCTGTAGCTGTGAAATCCTGCAAAGAGAACCTGGCTCCAGAACATAAGAGCAAGTTCCTGATGGAAGCCAGGTCAGTGCATGTCCAGACACATAAGGATATTAATGAACAGCTCAGCCACTTGGATGCTCATGTGCTCTGCAGGATCCTGAAGCAGTATAACCATCCAAACATTGTAAAATTAATCGGAGTCTGCACACAGAAACAACCAATCTACATCATCATGGAGCTCATTTCGGGTAAACGCGATCCCTCCATGTTCCACCCGCTTTACCCAGCCATATCATTCAATCTATTTAATCTCTGTTTTCTAAACATCTCTAGGTGGGGATTTTCTCACCTTCCTGCGGACTGAGGGTCACAGTTTGACAGCTAAAATGTTGGTCAAAATGACTGAAAATGTTGCTGCGGGAATGGAGTACCTGGAGAGTAAGAAGTGCATCCACAGGTTGGTTGTGATGAGCTTCGGGGATTAAAAAAAATTAACCCACCGGATCCACTTTATACTGTTGCTATTATATTTGCACATTTTTTTGTAAAGGAAAAACCAGCAAGGAAATTAAAACAAGACTCTGAATATTTTTTAAATTTTAGAAAAGTAGCACAAAGCTATTGAATTCACTGATGAGGAAGAATTTAAAGCAATAACTTATTTTAGCCACAAATGAATCTTGTTCCTCTCAATATACATTAATAGTAAAACAAGTGTTTATACAGTCGCGTCATCCATAAAAAACTGACATGCATTCAAAATACAAAGTTTTATCCTTAAAAATGTCTTTAGTTGATTCAAACACTGTTACTAAAGGCTAAAACATCAAAGTCTGAAGGATTTGATGCTGAATCAAAAGGTAGTGGAATGGTAAACATGTAGCATCTGGTATGCTTTAATACAACCTCTGTGAACATTCAACAGATTAAGACATTTTTTCAGGCAGATGAAGCAAAAATCTTGCTGTAACGATTATAAAGCATATTCTGTAAAGTCATTGAGGTTATATTTTTTACTTTCTACAGTTCTGGCTTTCATTTTGTGGTAACTATCTGTCCTTTTCTTCTCTGCAAAGTAATTTAGTCTGACTGTGTTGGTTAAAGTTCCTGTAGGGTTAGCAAGAAACTTGAGGATTGGAGTGTTATCCATAACTGTTGCATGTTTCATCAATTTTTTTTTTTTAAAGATCAGAAAGTCTTCCAGCAACATAACACCCTGAAACCATCTACAGTGCTGGTTTCCCACTGTGGGAGGCTGCTTTTATCTGACAACAAACACAGGCAGTGGTGTTTGAACCAGGGATCTAATTTAGACTCCGTTCCAGCCATAATCATCACATTGCAGTTATTATTCTCTTTTATTTTTTATAAAGTGGTTCATATTGCAAATGTATGATGTGCAAGAACCATCTTGCCTGAGATGATGCAAACTGCAATATCAGGAATAAATAGTTGAGTTGAGCTGAGCCTGACCAACAAAGCAGTTACACTGAGAGAAACTCAGCCTCTGTAGGGGAAATTAGTCTGAGCTGCCTGCTGCAGTGAAGGTCAGATTGGGGGGAACCAGAGCGAGGGCCATCTCTCCTCAAACTCTAGATGATACGTCAGGTTTATCTTTTATGTCCTACAACTGAATCTAATTTTGTTTCCTATTGAAATTGTATATTTGATTTACTTGTATCCATCCAGATAAAATCTCCTACTGTATGACTGGAAGAGAGACCTTCACTGTGGTTTGACTCAGGAAGTATTTAAATCTAAAGTTGCTCTGATCAGGCTTTTATAAGACAGTCAGCTCTCATTTTTCCTATTTTAGATCAAAGCAGCAGATTTTAGTTTTGGTTTATCATAATATTCTCTCTAAAGAAAATGATGCATATAACTCACCATGTTTTAATGTCATAATTAAGGGCTAATTATGTCAAACTTAAATCAAAACCAGACTTTTCCTGTTTTTAGGGTCTGATTCGCACAATTACAGTATTTGTTTGCTTACTGCCAGTATAATAAAGAGGTAGGAAAAATGATACAGAGTGCCTTTAAACTGCTCAGTTTACGTCAAACATTTGGGAATCCTTCCACAAGCTTCTCATTAATTTGATTGAATTTTGGCTCTTTTCTTATTGAGAGAAATGGTGTATTTGTCTGTGTTTAACTCCCTCTTCCCACAAATATTCTACCACAGTCCAATAAATGGACGATTCTGTTCTAAAGTTAGTTAAATCCTTTGTAAATGTCTTTGGTGGTTGCTTCAACATTTCCTTATAATAATCTTAGCTAATGATGCAATCTTGTAAAATATAAGTTCACCACTCCTATAACACAATGCTACCAGCCTTGTTCTTCCCAGCTGGGATGCTATTAAAATTAAGATGATTGTCTCTTGGTGCATTTTCTTTTGGAAGAATGGCTTTTTCCTCTCTGAGTGACCTCTTAAAGGTACCGGTATTATGGAGGATTTCATTTTTTAAAGCAGTCCCGCCCTCTCTGCTTTAAAAAAAATGCACATGCACAACCCTGTAACCGCTCCCTAGAGGGGACGCCTATTAAACACGTGTGAGAGCATGCACAAGTCCATTTCTCCTCGTGCATGCTCTGTTTAAAAGTTACTGTGCTCCTACCTCATACAAGCTTACTGTGGTCGAACGTTCGTCCTAACCCCTAAATCCCTCAATTACTATATAGAGCGGGGACTAGTGGACTTTATAGAAAACTCAGTTTACCTACCGTTTGAACAGATGATCAATACTTTTTGCTCCCCGTTGGTCATGTAACTCCTCCTTCAACACCTGCGCCATCTTTGCTATTGGTGCCTATTCAGCCTATGGCGACCATAGGCCGCTGTGACAGCAAAGCCCATAATGCTTTGCAAAGAGAGCTCTCAGCGCAAAGCATTTTGGGATATATCTGCCTCTTCTGAGGCCTTACTTTTCTTCTCATACACTTCGTAGATACTTTTTCTCTTACGTCGCTCTGTTATTTTCAAAGAACCGCAGTGAGTGGGGAGTGGTGGCCTAGTGGTCAGGGCATAGAGCTTGGAATCCTGAGGTTCTGAGTTCGAGGCCTACTCCCACAGACTGCCACTCTGGCTCTCTGAGCAAAGCCGTTAACCCCACACTGCTCCTCGGGCGCCGCATAGTGGAAGTCCACTGCTGCTGTTACATGAAGAGGCAAATTTCTCTAATGTGAGATCAATACATCAATTATTTTTTAGGTCTGCGGATCAACTATTTTTTTTATTATTTTCATTTTTTGAGAAAGGTGAGTGTTGTGATTTTATGTTAAATTCTATTCCCAGCCAGCTGGGAATTTATTTTTCTGATACTTTAAGATTAAATACGATATTTTACCTCCCCTCTGTAGGGGAGGTAAAATATGGTATTTAATCAGATATTATTTCAGCTGTTATATATTGTGTATGATACACAGTCATACACACTGTGTGTTAGAACAATAGTTGAAAGAGTGATTCGAGCACTAATCATGGTCAAACTGTTAATTCTGCACATACATGGAATAAATTCACCACAACTTCTGTTCAAAATATAAGAGTGTATTAACAAAAATCATTCAGCTCCAAGTCAAACGTATTTCAGTTTAACACTCTCAACTAAGACTAGTAAAACTCAACTAAACTAAACTAACTAGTATGTACAAAGAGGACGGGGGAAACGGTTGAAAAACATATTACAGTTTAAGATGGATCTTGTGTTTGAAACCAAAGTTTATCTGGAAGAATTTGGGATATGATCAAATTAGCTTTTCACTAATTTTAAAGAAATTGGAATGTTTCCAGACCAATTCACAATGCAAACATTATTTGGCCATATAATGTTTTATTAAATGATTTGCTTAATCAAGAACCAATAACCTTTAGTTAAATGATTCTTTAACCTCCTTGAAATAGCTAGCAGCGAATAGACATCAGGATTCCACTAAATGACTCTTGGTCATACTTGCTAATTGAAATGTAATGAGCATTTGAGGAACACATGAACACTAATGTTATATCAGTGTTTAAACCCTTTGTGAATAAAGCTTGTCCAAGCTTCAGCAACAGCTCAACACATATTCCTGTAGCATAGCGTAGCATGCAGTCCATTCTTTAGCATCAGTTAGCGTCGTCTTTACTCAGCAGTACATGTGATATGATTAGCATCATCAAATGACATGTTGTTTGTTCTGTCCCTAATCACACCAGACCTGCAAACCTTTTTCCCGGTCCATTTGGAAAGCTTGAGTTTCATCCAGTTGCAACTCTGCAGTCAGGGCACAGCAGGGGTTCTTTGTCTCAGTCATTCATCAGGCAGCCTTCTCTCCAGTCTGGCTCTACAAGTTCTGAAACTCAAGAGAAATGTGTTGCAAAATGTCTGGTTTGCAGCAGGTTGGGGTCTAAAAGGTTCTGACTTATCCTCAATGGTTCTGGAGATCTGGTTCCCCTGGGGCCCGCATCTCCACTGCGGACCCCAGCTTCATGGGCAAGGGAGAGGAGGCAAGGAGTGCAGGAGCCAAAGAGAGCAGGAGGCAAAAGAGGGAGAATCCTGTGTGCTCTGTGGTTTTGTCTGTTCTCGCAGAAAGGGGGTGTAGGTTTTCACACCTCTGGTGGCTTCCATGTGACTTCCCAATGTCCAAAAAGTATGATCATGGCATATGGCATAACATGAGCTTCAATGACTGTCTTAAACCGTAGCTCACCATACATATATGCCTTATAGTGTGCATGTGCAGAAAAAGATAGCTAACGGGACAAGCACGTAGGATGGCCTTACGTAAACATATCACCAAAATGATTGACAATTAGGAGGACCATTTATTTAGATGATCCACCCAGAAATAAAAGATCCTCTATACCTTTAACCGATGTTGGACTTGTCTCATAATGAATAATGACGCTCTATAACAAGCCTCAGCCAGCATCAGAACAAGATCTTTTGCTTTTGTTTCAGGGTTTACACATTTCATACCTGAACATGTTCCTCTCTGGGACACATAAAGGGTCTCTTCTGTAAACTTTACGATGGCTGGATATTCCCACAGTCTTTATACTTGCATATTATAGTTAAAACAAATGTCAATGTGGCCCCTTAAGGATCTGAATATTGTACTGAAGGGTGAACCAAATTCTTTTTGATATCTTGTCATTATGACATCATCTAATATATAGACTTGATATCATATGGGAGTACTGCGTTTGATGTTATCCTAAAATACTGCCAGTGATATAGCTCAACTAAATCAGCAGTTTTCAATGCCACAAAGTTTTCTTTTTGGCTTTCCCAGATTGTTTAAACATATATTAATCTAGTTACCTTAAAGCAGGTATAATGCAGACTTTCTCATTGTTTGGACAGAACACAAAAAGGAAATTGTTTTTGTAATGCTGACTAAACTAAAACAGAAAAGGTGTGGTCTGATTTAATTACAGACAGTGAAAAAAAAAAGAAAAACTTTATTTTTCTTTATTTGTATTGACACAAATATCAATTATATAAGCAGATTAAGTATTAAAACAAAGCAACAGTAAACATGGTAAATCTAAACTTTTGTAGTGTTTGTAATGTTTCAGTAACATTGTCTGCGTTGTTGAATTTTAAGTTGTTTTTCCGAAACTTTCCATGTTTTGCATCTAAGCACACTCATAAAAAACTATTCAACAGAAATTATTTATTTTCAAGCAATTTATTCTGGTTGTTAATAACAGGCAACAAGAATCCATAACCCTTCCTTAAGAATAAAAGAAATTTACTAAAGATAGTACAGTATTTATTACAGTAATTGTGTTTATTCTCATTATTTTAATTTGCCAAACCTGGTGACAAACTATAAATGGGATGTATTTACATATTTTGCAGTGTTAAAGTAACTTTAAGAGTTAAATTTAGCACCAATCCGAGTGCATTTGGTCCCACTCTGAATAGGTGTGAAATTAACTCTCTACAAAGTGTATATCTTACTCCAGTTATTTTTGTAACACCTCTAAAAGAGTCAGTGTACTTTGACACTGCATATTTAACACTGTGGAATTTACTATATCAAAAAGTTACCCTCAGCATTAGATTAGAGTTAAATGTTTTGCAAAGCAAGAATAAAAACCCAACCTATTTTAGCATAATGGAAGTCTGTTAACTTTCCTCACTGCACTTCCTCATGTGTTGTCATGACCGTTAGAATAGTGCCTAAAAACAGGAATAAAAGAATTTCCCATAATAAAACATGAGAAAAATGCTTCTTTGGCTTACCGTACAGGCAATTTAACACCACAACCAATCAAATCTGCCTTCCGTTCAACGGAATCGCCTGAATCATCCAAGGATTTTAAATAAGCATAAAGACCTCAACAGGCAAAAGAACATAACATGTCAGCAAAAGCAATGACATCATCGTGCAAATTTATTCACTTAAAGCAATGAGCTCTTTACAGGAAACTCCATGTCAGTTATTTTCAAAAAAACTTTTTAGTACTGGCTTTTTAGTAGGTGGTATGCAAAAAGCTCTGGCAAGAGCTGTTGGTTTTAGTTTTATAAATGCTCAAAAATAATGCCGTCTCCTAAATAACACAATGCCCCCATTTAAATGTGGTCAAACTGTATTAGTGCTGAGAGAATATATCTCTAAGGTGAACTTATTTTAGAAGCGTGTCTGCATCTCCATTTCAGTTTTTGAATGAGTCTTTGGTTTAGAGACTAACAGGACATGCAAATAACTTAATGAGAAACCCCAGAAGTGTCTGTTTTTCTGCAAAGTAGATTTTGGTATTGCTACTTTGTGATATAAAAGAGAAAAGGCTGTGATAAGATCATCTTGTTTCAGTCTTTAGCAAGTGTGGAGCAGTTGTACAGATAAAACATGACTTAAAATGTACAGACAGCTGCTAACTTAAACAATAACCTAAAAGTAGATATCATCAGAAGAATTCAGAAATGAAAATAAAAAGGAAATGAGCTGAAAGTTGAGGTGTTGTGAGGCGGTGGGAGTTGAGGATAGGGTGACTGTGATAGCTAGCTGAGAACAGTTCATACTGTGGGGAACAGATCAAAGCAGGTTTCTGCAACACAGAATTACAAACTCTACCCAGAAAAACAAACAAACACCAGGGACATTTTCCCTTTGTTTTTCGGTGTTTCTGTTATCCTCCTCTTGTTTTCTATCACATAACATTATTTGTCTCTCTATGTTTCCTTTTTTTAGGGACCTGGGCAGCAAGAAATTGCCTGGTTGCAGAACGCAATGTGGTTAAGATCAGTGACTTTGGGATGTCCCGTGAGCGAGATGATGGTGTCTACTCTGCAGAGGGGGGTCTCAGACAGATCCCTGTCAAATGGACTGCTCCAGAAGCCCTGAACTATGGTAAGCCAAAAATAATACCACTCTTCTTACAGTCTGCAAAAGGGAAACTGTCAAAAAGAATGTTCCTTTTCAAATGCTGCCCCCTGCTGTTTCTCTCAGGTCGTTATACCACACAGAGTGATGTGTGGAGCTTTGGTGTCTTGCTTTGGGAGACCTTCTCCATGGGGATGACTCCCTATACAAGCATGAATAACCAGCAGACACGGGATGAGGTGGAGAGAGGTAAACCCATGTGCTAATCTTTGAAAGATAAAAACTTACCTGCGGATAATCCTCAGGAGAACTGATGTTGGGTCTTGTTGCAGGATACCGTATGCCTTCTCCTCATGGCTGCCCAGTGGAGATATCCAGGGTCATGAACAACTGCTGGCAGTATGATCCCAAAAACAGGCCGACATTCAGGAAAATCCGGTCTGAGCTCAGTGCTATTCACAACAAAATCACATGATATCATCGTCTCATTAGACTTTTATCTAAACATTTTATTAGAAATAGTTAGAACTTGTTTTATACATTTATTTTATTTTTATGAGTTGAGTATGAAAATTGAGTCAGAACTCAAAGATCAAATAAAAAATTTAATCCCTTGACTTTACTCTTTTTTTTAGACTCTTTTTGTGAAAACTACACTGTGTGCAGAATTATTAGGCAAATGAGTATTTCTACCACATCATCCTTTTCATACATGTTGTTCTACTCCAAGCTGTATAGGCTTGAAAGCCAACAACCAATTAAGTAAATCAGGTGGTGTGCATCTCTGTAATGAGAAGGGGTGTGGCCTAATGGCATCAACACCCTATATAAGGTGTGCTTAATTATTATTTAGGCAACTTCCTTTTCTTTGGCAAAATGGGTCAGAAAGAGAGATTTAACAGACTCTGAAAAGTCAAAAATTTAAGCGGGATCATTGCACAATCAAGCAGTTCAGGGCAAATAGCCAACATGAATTGAGAAGGATCAAGCGTGAAGCTGCCATTAGCCACGAGTTGTGCCATATTTCAGAGCTTCAACATGTCTGGAGTGCCGTAAAGCACAAGGTGCTCAATACTCAGGGAGATGTCCAATGTAAGGAAAGCTGAAAATAGGCCACCTTTGAACAAGACACACGAGACAAAACGTCAAGTTTGGGCCAAGAAATATCTGAAGACTGATTTCTCCAAGGTGTTTTGGTCTGATGAAATGAGAGTTAGTCTCGATGGGCCAGATTGATGGGCAGCAGGCTGGATCAGTAAAGGGCAGCAAGTTCCTTATCAACACAGATGCCAGCAAGGTGGAGGTGGGGTGCTGGTATGGGCTGGTATCATCAAAGATGAGCTTGTGGGAACTTTTCGGGATGATGATGGAGTGAAGATCAACTCTCAGACATACTGCCAGTTTCTGGAAGACACCTTCTTCAGACAGTGGTACAAGAAGAATTCACCATCATTCAAGAAAAACATGATATTCATGCATAACAATGCTCCGTCATGCATCAAAATACACAACAGCAAAGCTGGCCAGAAAAAGTCTAAAAGGAGAAAAAATAATGACATGGCCCCTTGTTCACCTGATCTGAACCCCATCGAGAACAATGGGTATATATATTGTTTTTCTATTACGTCGCCTAATAATTCTGCACAGTAATATTTATCTGCACACAGACATTCTCATAAAATGGCCAAATCTAAAAAAAAAACAACAACAAATCCATTCCAAAAATATCAAACTTTGATATTAAGGAGTCTTTTGGGTTCATGAGAACACAATTGTGACCCATTAATAAAAATAATCCTCAAAAATACAACTTGCCTAATAATTCTGCACACAGTGTATCTAGAGAATTAATGTTAGAAGTGAGCAGTGTGCTGCGTGGCCAGCTGGGGGCAGTTTTTCTCTTTTTTTAAACGTTCCCTTCAAAACAATACAACTTATTGTTAGAAAGAGGAAAAAGTGTGTTTCAGGAAAACATTGTGAACATATCAGTTTCTGATCTTTAAGTTTTTGTACAGTCCCTGAAGATGTTAAGGATCTTTGGTCGTTTTTTTATCTGCAAAAAGAGAGTTAAATCTAGGGTGACCAAACGTCCGTATTTCCCGGGTTACAGGTGCTGGTCATAAAATTAGAATATCATGAAAAAGTAGTTTGATTTCAGTAATTCCATTTAAAAAGTGAAACTTGTATATTATATTCATACATTACATACAAACTCATATATTTCAGATGTTTATTTTGTTTAATTTTGATGATTACAAATGACAACAAATGAAAATCTCAAATTCATCATATCAGAAAATTAGAATATTACTGAAGACCAATAAAAACAAAGGATTTATAGAAATGTTGGCCAACTGAAAAGTATGAACATGAAAAGTATGAGCATGTACAGCACTCAGTATTTAGTTGGGCCTCCTTTGGCCTGTATTACTGCAGCAATGCGGCGTGGCATGGAGTCGATCAGTCTGTGGCACTGCTCAGGTGTTATGATAGCCCAGGTTGCTCTAATAGTGGCTTTTAGCTCTTCTGAATTGTTGGGTCTGGTGTATTGCATCTTCTTCTTCACAATACCCCATAGATTTTCTATGGGGTTAAGGTCAGGAGAGTTTGCTGGCCAATTAAGAACAGGGATACCATGGTCCTTCAACCAGGTACTGGTAGCTTTGGCACTGTGTGCAGGTGCCAAGTCCTGTTGGAAAATGAAATCTGCATCTCCAAAAAGTTGGTCAGCTGCAGGAAGCATGAAGTGCTCTAAAACTTCCTGGTATGTGGCTGCGTTGACCCTGGACCTCAGAAAACACAATGGACCAACACCAGCAGATGACATGGCACCCCAAACCATCACTGACTGTGGAAACTTTACACTGGACTTCAAGCAATGTGGATGAAGTGCCTCTCTTCTTTTCCTCCAGACTCTGGGACTTTGATTTCCAAAGGAAATGCAAAATTTACTTTCATCAGAGAACATGACTTTGGACCACTCACCAGCAGTCCAGTCCTGTTTCTCTTTAGCCCAGGCAAGACGCTTCTGACGCTGTCTGTGGTTCAAGAGTGGCTTGACACAAGGAATGCGACAGCAGAAACCCATGTCTTTCATACGTCTGTGTGTGGTGGTTCTTGAAGCACTCACTCCAGCTGCAGTCCACTCTTTGTGAATCTCCCCCACATTTTTGAATGGGTTTTGTTTCACAATCCTCTCCAGGGTGCGGTTATCTCTCTTGCTTGTACACTTTTTTCGACCACATCTTTTCCTTCCCTTCGCCTCTCTATTAATGTGCTTGGACACTGAGCTCTGTGAACAGCCAGCCTCTTTAGCGATGACCTTTTGTGTCTTGCCCTCCTTGTGCAAGGTGTCGATGGTCGTCTTTTGGACAACTGTCAAGTCAGCAGTCTTCCCCATGATTGTGTAGCCTATAGAACTAGACTGAAAGACCATTTAAAGGCTTTTGCAGGTGGTTTGAGTTAATTAGCTGATTAGAGTGTGGCACCAGGGGCCATCAATTTTGAACCTTTTCACAATATTCTAATTTTCTGATATGATGAATTTGAGATTTTCATTTGTTGTCATTTGTAATCATCAAAATTAAACAAAATAAACATCTGAAATATATGAGTTTGTATGTAATGTATGAATATAATATACAAGTTACACTTTTTAAATGGAATTACTGAAATCAATCTACTTTTTCATGATATTCTAATTTTATGACCAGCACCTGTATATGCGTATTTCACGTCCTGTCTCGGGCGTCCCGGGTTTTTTTTAGAAAGTGAGGAAATGTCCTGATTTCACTGCGCACGACGCTCTGTGTGACGTAATCCCTGAGACGTGTCAGTGCGGGCAGCCCTGTTCTTAATCAGAGGCTCTGTTCGAAAACCTGGGCTGCATCCTCCAAGGACGCGGTCTGCCTAGACTGGATCCTTCGAAGTCCTTGAAAACGAGGAGGCCAGAAGAGTTTTGTCTGTAAATTCGAACAGGTCCACCCTTTTTTTTTTTACGGGTGTATGCTCTGTTGCTTTGCAACCGTGAAAGTTGACACACAAAGCAGGAAAAGAATGAATACCGAGGTTTTTAAAACTGTTTGTTTATTTATTTATTTTTAAAAAAGTTAAAGCGAACAAAGACTACACTCACAAGAATCCAGAGTGGAAGGTTCCAACCACCGGGAGCAGGAACAAATCAAATCAATTGTAATGATAGAAACTTTAGTCAGTTAAATAACCTGCTGCTGTCATTCTGCACATCTCTGATGTTGCTGCTATTTTCAAATATCCATTACTGTAAAAATGTCCATAGCTGCATATTGGTTATTAATTCTCCAGTTTTATATTGTTAAAACACTTTACAGTATTTTATTGTTTATATTTTAACTCTTCCCTATTATGTTATTCTTATACATTTTTCTAAGGTCCTCATTTGTGTGACTATTTTCAATAATCTTTCTGCTGCTGTAAATTTGCCCATTGTGGGACAATAAAGGGATTTTCTATTCTATAAAAGGGTTAGAAATATATAAGTAAATCTAAACAATGTATGTATAAAAATATATCTGCAAAATCTCTAATATTCAACAACAAAAAAATACTTAGTTAAGCATATTGTGCAAAATAACAATAAAAAAATTTAACTCCTATCAGATTTATAGTTCCCACTCTGCAGATCTATTAGAACCTGTCCTTAAATTACAGCCAAACTCATTTACACAGTAACAGATAAAAACCTTTAGATAAATCAAACACTACCGCCACATATCTGACTCAATAACCATTAAAACAACTATTTTCATTCATTTCAGACGGAACTATTCACAGAGTTGTATTATATTAAACTGAACTTCCAATTTTCACCACTGATCTGCGCCAAGTAGCATTTCCTCTGATCACGGTGCATGATGATGAGATGATGAGACATTTGTTCTTTCAATCAACCAAGGTGTCCTGGTTTTCACAAATGAAAATATGGTCACCCTAGTTAAATCAAAACTTTAAACCACTAAAAGAGGAGATGATACTTTATATTTTTTTCATAGAATATATAAAAATGGAAGCTCAGATTCAGATGGTAGCTGCTCTGGGCCTTAGTGGCCCTCTTAAGCTCTGTGGGGAAGACACCATGAGAGTTTATTTGTGCATTTAGAAAAAAATTATACTTTTTTTTCAAAGAAGTAACAGATCTGATTCATTGCATAAGGACGGTGCTCCTGGACTGGCAGGGGTGGGTGTTCTCCAACTATAGGGGGGGTAACACACTCCTTAATCCTGCAGTACCACCTTACAACAATTTACTATGCTCTGCAACTTTTTCAAATAGAAAGGGGCAGATGTTTATTTTTTTAGAACAAAGATATGCTAGTACAAAAGATACAGTTAAAAACCAGTGGTAGTTGAAGTCTCACTTTAAACAGAAGAGGATCTACATCCCTCAATTCATTTAGAAGTCATTGCACTGTTTTTCTTTAGATTAAACATACTTGAACGGTAAAACAAAAATGATCCACACAAAAAACATAAAATGTTTTTTGATTTACTAAAATGTAACCCCTTTAGATATATATTCATACATCTTTTTAAGTAACAGTTAAAAGAATCAGTTACTTGTTATGGCTAAAAGCAAATC